ATGGCAGGTGGAATTTGTTGCTTACAAATTCCACCTGCCATTTATACCTTTTTGTATTCATATTGCATTAACTGGAGTGCAACCACATGATGAAGAAAATGGTTACCGTAATAATGTTATTTGGTACTGCAGCCTACAAGAGGCTTTAGCGCTTGGTGTCAACACACAGGCCAGACAACACCATTAGTTATTAGCTTAATTTAAAAAGTCTCATAAGATGTCCATAGCTTCTAACTCATTAGGATAGACCAGCTTTTCTCTAGTAGGGTGCCGTGGCACATTGGTGTGCCACCTAGCCTCCTCAGGGGTGCCCCAAAAGTTTGTGGTAATGGGACTTTGACGTGAAGGGGGCTTCTGATGTGAAAGGGGGGGTGGAGACTCTGAAATGAAAGGGGGGCTCCTGATGTAAAGGGGGTGTACTGATGCAAAGGTGACTCTCATGTGAAGGGGGGGATCTTGATTTGATGGGGGCACTTCGATGTAAAGGGGGAAAACCACCTTTTTGTGTGTATTTGCGTAGGGTCCCCGTTTAAATCTATGACATTTTAGACTGGGGTGCCTTGAGATTTTGCATACTTTTATAAGGTGTCGTGACTGAAAAAAGGTTGAAAAGCACTGGGATAGACTGTCTCTCTTTTGAACCCAAACCCCTCAGTCCCATCTCTCCTGCCCACCTCTCTCTTTTTTAGGTCTTAAGCAAAATATGTATAAATTCTCTGTGTTCAGATGTGCTTCTAACTATAATTATCCTTGCTTATTTTCAAATACCAATAAAAAGGAAAATTAGTTTTTAGTAGGAATTGCCAGAAGCTTATATGTATTAACATCAAAAATAAGATTTGGCTGCTAAAAGTGGTACACATTTTTTAATGAGTGCCATTTGTGTTTTTGAAGCATCTTATTTACGCTGCTGTTCTCTACAATAGGAATTTGTTAAGACTCATTTAGGCAGATGTTTCAAGGATGCCATCCCTACCTGCTTTTGCCTTGGGGTGTGTCTTTTACTTTAACACTTTGTCTATCTTAGAAATGTGGGAAATATGGACAAGCTGACCACTACTTCAGAAGGCTGCACTGCTTTCTGAAGTAAAAAAAAGGAATGGATAGCAATGCACAGTATCTGTTCTTACGCGTTATAAATAATGACAGTGGTAATGATGTTTACTTAGTTGTAATCAATATATTGTTTTAAAAATCCCATGAATAAACAGTAGCAAAAGCTACACCAATTCCGAAATGTAAGCTTGCTTCATACAAAAGAAAGTGGAGTACAGAAAAATTGCTACCAAAAACCCCCCCACAAATACAGATGATCTCCTAGGACAGGCCCGAGGGCCATAGACTGGGCTTGTAGGCAGGTCCCTAATTCGCTGCACTAGATCAGCCTTCCTCAACCAGGAGGGACACTGATGTTAAGGGGGCTCCTGATGTGAATGAGGGGGCGTCTGATGTATAGGGGGCTTTGATGTGGAGGGGAAACTCCATGTTAACTTTTTTTTAAGTGGTGTCCCCCTTAAAATCCATACCAGACCCCTTCCTAGGATAAGGCTTTGGTATTGATTGTGGGGTTCTCCACACAATTTTTTGCATTTTTACATTGTAGACTGGGGTGCCCTGAAAATGTTCATACTTTTAAAAGGCGTCAAGGCTGAAAATAGATTGGCACTAGATAAACTTTGTCAGCCATAGTGGTTGGAAACAGTATGCGAACACCCACTGACAACTATTAACTATTTGTTTAATAAAATTATAGTAGAGGGTACTTATGAAACACGGGCACACACATAGGTGCTTATTTGGCAATTAGACAGCTATGGTGATTCTAAAAAAAAATATCTTGCTTCATTTGAAAAATAAGTGGAGGTTAGAAAACTTGCTACCAAAAAAAAACTGCTGCTAGGACAGTCCAGAAGGTCATAGACTGACCTTGTAATTAAAAACTAGCACATTACTAATCATATTCTTACTTTAACAGAGCTTGTGTGGACATAGAGCACTATAATTTGGGACGATTGGTGGTTCATTAGTGTACTTTATTTTTGTATATACTGTATTTCTGAAGTCTCTATATATGAGGTGAACCAGTGATGCTGGGTTGTAGTTGGTTAAAGCCTGTTACTGTGAATGTGTTTAACTTAAAAATACAAATAGGAAACTTAAAAAAAAAAAAAAGATTCTATTGCCTTTCATCTGACTTCCTTGTGGTCTGGTGCTTTGGACAAAGCTGTACCCTTAAAAAAAAGTATTTTCTCTTCTACGTCCATTAGCAAATGTCATATTTTGCAAAATGGGTTACAAAAAAGGAGGCTTGTGTGTGTGTTAAGTTTATACACAATATTGATCTCTTTGTTTAAAATCCTGTAAGCAGAAGGGACATTATGTCCAAATTTGGCCTGTACTAGTATACTGTACATTTCTTGTATAAAAGGGCACAGGGGCGGTAATGCTTTAAGAACTCTTCAGCCGTGTTTTAGCTCCTGTCTTGACCCTTGGGATGGTGTTTTGTAGAACTCTGCTGTTAATTCTAAAATTCCTATGACTTCACAAACATAACATTTCATTTTTATTTTTACAGAATTAGTTGATTGAGATGGAATTTTACTATTAATTGGTTCTCAAAAGTGATCCCTGTAGCTGTGATT